AGGCCAAAGGCCCATCCAGTCCAACACTCTGTGTCACACAGTGGCCAGAAATACCAGGTGCCATCAGGAGGTCCAGCAGTGGGGGCAGGACATTAGGAGCCCTCCCACTGTTGACCCCCCCAAGCACCAAGAAGACAGAGCGTCACTTGCCCCAGAGCCCCTATTTATACCTTGTGGCTAATAGCCACTGATAGACCTCTGCTCCATATGCTTATCTAATTCCCTTTTGAAGCCGTCCATGCTTCCTGTGGCAGTGAATTCCATGTGTTAATCACTCTCTGGGTGAAGAAGTACTTCCTTTTATCCATTCTAACCCGACCGCTCAGCAATTTCATTGAGTGCCCACGAGTTCTTATATTGTGAGAAAGGGAGAAGTACCTCTTTCAGATAACCTTTACCTTTACAAGGAAATTCTCAGCATGATGGTTTGGATCTGGAGATGCACATGGGAAAACATAAATGCCTTAGCCCTGTCCCACTTGCACGAGATCTTGTGCAACATCTAGCACTTTCCTCCCTTTATATTATACCGACAAAGAATTGGTTGCACAGGATCTTGCACAAGAGGAAACTCATGCAGGGATACAATGAGTTTCACTTCGCTCAAGTAGCTACCGCAGTCTTCTTGCATTTCCACTAGTGCAACAGCTCTACCAGGAGCGCAAATTCCTCACCCGATGTTATTATGTCAAATGTGTTGCATGTGGATGGAACTGAAGCTCTTTAAAATGATCAGGTCTGTAGTTCATGCATCCACCTGGGTCCAGCATTGTTGCTGACATCTGAAATAAGAGCTGTGCTCACAAGCACCTTTCCATCTCTTCCGCCTTGGCGACTACCTGATTAGACCATTGGAAGGCCTTGTCCTGACCTGGATCACCCAGGCTAGCCCGATCTTCAGAGTTAAGCAGGATCTGCCCTGGTTAGTACTTGGATGGGAGACCGCCAAGGAAGCCCAGTGTTGCTTTACAGAGCCAGGCAATGGCAAACCACCTCTGAATGTCGCTTGCCTTGCAAAACCTAAGTGGTCACCCTAAATCAGCTGTGACGTAGCTGCAATTTCCACTATCAAGGCATTGTTTGTTTGTTTGTTGCCACTCATGTGAAGGTTCTCATGGCGACTTACAACATTAAAACCAATAAGGTAAAAACAAAGTAAAAACAAATGACAAATATAAACGTTAGCATTCAAATATTAAAATACCATACCACTATTAAAACAGAAGAAGAAGAGGAGATTGGATTTATACCCTGCCTGCCACCCTTCACTACCCAAAGGAGTCTCAGAGCGGCTTACAAACTCCTTCCCTTTCCCCTCCCCACAACAGACACCCTGTGAGGGAGGTGTAGCTGAGAGAGCTCTGACAGAAACTGCTCTTTTTCAAGAACAGCTGTGCCAGAACTAAGGTTATCCAGCAGGTGCAAGTGGAGGAGTGGGGAATCAAACCCGGTTCTCCCAGATTAGAGTCTGCGCACTTAACCAC